TGCTCTCAAATCTTTACTTTTTATTATGCATGTTTCTCTATGTTGAATCTGATTAACTCTAGACAAATGTACTGGCATGGCATGATATGTTTGGGCATGCTATGGAGTTTGATTTGGCTGCTTATCACATGACTGAGGTTTTGGAGCCAGTCGTGTGGAGTTACGCTGAAGATCTGGACTTGTATTTGCCGAAAAGTACATGGCTCCAGTTGAAGGCAAGGGCCATTTAATAGTTTAGACAATCTTTGAATGCCCTTAGTAGAAGATATTTAAGCCGTTTCGAAAGGTTTGGGGTAGCTCCGCTTGGAAAGGAGCAGATGGCCCAGCTCGTTTCAATTCAAATCCTATTCACTACATTCGTAATAATGAAGCTTGGATAGAGCAGTTGACTAGAAACTACAACGAATTCGATGTTCTGCAGGTTTGCGCGGATATGTTATAGCATCATATCTTCCTAAATGATTCACTTTAAAGGGTCTTATTTTTGCTGGATGGTCTCGGTACGACCACTTTGCTATTCTGTGCGAATTGGCTCCAGTTGCCCTGCCAACACTAGCTATGACTATGGAAACAATTTTGGTGAGTTAGCTGTTGTTAGCGCAATCTTTTACACTTCTTTCTCTTCAAGTAAGCTTTTGTGATTGTTACTTGATGACAGAAGTCTATTTGTTATCGAGGGATAAACGAAGGAAGCGACATTTCTTTGTTTTGCCTCCGATATACTACGGCAAAACCTATCTTTTGATTTCGCAACATCAAAACGGTTTATACGCTGGCCAGCTCTAGAAATTTTGATGATGGAAAGACTCCTTTTTAAGTGAATCTTTTTAGAAGCTTTGAACCCAGTGAAATAAAATAAAGGAAAAATGTCTATCTCAAGGTTCTGTTGTGTTATAATATATTCTTTCGTCTTCTACATTTTCAAACTCATTTCTGACCTTGCTTTGCTAATATATTTTCATTGCTGTATATATGTGCCACATTTTGAATTTGTGGGGTGGTTTGGGCTGTTTTCTTTTCCACTATCCTTCTTGTTGATTGGATGATTGAGTTTGCCCTGTGTGTAATCAGATCACTTGAAATCAAATTAATCTTCAACTTTGTGAGAAAACTGGACTGGCTGGGCTTAATTGGACAGTTGGTAATTGGATTTTCAAGTGTAATTGGTTATCTTGCGCTGAACATTCCATTCTTTTTGAGTTCAGTTTTCGCTATTTATTTGTGATCGTGTACAGAATGCTGTTAAAGTTGGATTTAAAATCATGCTTAATCATTGATGAAACGGTTTCTTTTTTGGGAGTTGGAGGGGGTGAGTGAGCATCTCTCTAACTGTAAACTTGCAGTAAGACAGGTGCTTTCGTAATTCAGTCCGGATCTCCAATCTTTGATGCAATTGGCAGTTTTTCCGGTAACTGCTTGCACAGAGCAATTCGTATTGCAGGCAGGAAGACCCTTGCAGGGTAATTACCCTCTCTCTCGAGACGCACTTCAGTGCACTCCTTCAACTGCCATGGGAGCCACATACGGGTGCATTTTCCCCGGCCACAGGGTTAGTGGCTCTATCTCCTTTGTATACCATCATCAAACAATTCAGTTCAGGTGTATGAGTTGATTAACGAGTATTGGCAACGAAGAAAGCAGTTACAACAATACAGAGAAGATGATTTTGAGCTTAATGGTTGGCTTTCTAGGGTAGCGGAAACGTATTCGAGTACTAGCCAGTGGTATATTGACGTGAGTTCATAAAAGTTACTCTTCAGTGGATGACAATAAGTTAATGTTTGTAGAAGATTGAACCTCTTCTTGACTATCACGCAAAACCCATTTTTCGACTAGAAAAGGAGCTGCGGAGTGAGCTTGAACGAATCTACTATCAGGTAAAACTTTGTTATGGAAAAGCTCAAGGCAATTTACTTCTCTGCATCTGTTGTTGATTCGGGAATCCTGGTATACACTGTTTTTTTAATGCAGAAACTTTTTGCGTTTTGAGGGAGACCACAATTCTAACTTATCAATGACCTTCCTATTTTTGAATTTGGAAATGAATCGAAAACCTATTCAATATCCTCGTATACTTGACGTAGGGAAATGCGGATCTTACGGTTTATGACAGAAGGTCTTTTTTTGCTAACCATCACATGATCGATGAGATAATTGTTATTACTTCTACCACAGTTTGTTGGAATGAGTACTTCCGAATTCAAAGAGTAGATGCGAAATTTACAGCATACCCAAATATGCTTGCCCTTCGCGTCAACATGCTTTTCTTTCCAAATCGCCACAGTTCCCATTTATGAACGGGTCTAGTACCTTTGGGAATTCGGCAGGATTATGGTGTAAAGTGCTGTCAGTAAACGAGGTAGCACTTTACATTACCAAGTGGGTTATATCTTTCAAGCGGGGTAAACAGTCCAAACTTGTTTCCACCGTTAGAACTGTCGTTGGCCAATGCCAGTAATGTTTACGCTAGCGCGATTGTCACTACATTTGCAAAGTAATCCGTTATGATAGAAAGGGCTAAATTTTTGTAAGTGTATCTAAGTTTGAGCTTGCCCTCAAATTTGCATCAGTAAAGCTTACGAGGAATTCGGGTTATCAGCGCTTAATAATATACAACTATTTGCGATGATCCTGTATAGTGCACTGTCCGTAAAACTGGCCTGCGGATGACAAGAAAGGAAATAACACTAATGGCATAGTTTTCTACCACAGTAATCCATGCCGTCGTGTTGCGGTTGTAACATTGGGGCGCGCGAACGGCTGCCTCATTGCGCTTCATTGTCGTAAACGCGGCACGGATTATAATAGGAAACCATGCCATAGTGTTAATCCTTTCTTGTCTATGGGTGCGTAATTTCCAGACGTCTATGATTCAATTCGAAAATTAGCTTGGAATTGGATCCCACTATAAGTGATCTTTTGATATAGATGTGGAATAGCACTTTTCGTTAAGTTAGGATAACTGAGAAGGTGGCTTTAGCGCTGGCGTTGAGCATCGTTAGTCCAAAGATAGTTCTAACAACGCTAGTTATCACTCTCAAAATTACGTTAGTGCCCTAAGGTTTTGAATGCTAATCTCTTCAACTTCAACATCCTACTTGTCGAAAAGGTGCAAGAATCGCTTATGCTATAGCAACCTAAATCTAAGTCATTCCTGGGAAGGATCACCAAGAGCTATGGATGTAAAAGAATTGCTGACGAGTAAAAGGCTATCTTTTTTCTGGGACATCCCCTCTCTTTTCCAAACTTCTCATCATTCCATTCTTTTTTATCGCGTTTCGAACGTTCATAACTCACGTTTTTCATTAGATAATAGACGCGCAATAGACATCAGATGAACTTTTACAACTTTGGTTTATTGTTGAAACTTTCTACCATCGTGCGCGATAATAGACGATGGTAGAAAGTTTCAGCAATAAAGCAAAGTTGTAAAAGTTCATCTGATGTGTTTTTTACAGCTAAATAAAACTTCTATAACATGCTTAGGAGATTCTATAGATTCATACTTGGTGCTACGCCTTTCTTCACTGACCGAATCTATGCAGATATGGGAAATAAATCATACACTTCGGAAAAGGTTTCGATTAATCTTCTCGAAAAACTTTTACCTGATATTGATAGCAGTAGACAAGCAAAGCTCTCAAATCGGTATTTACTGAGAGTTTGCTCTTTGAAGGACGTCTAGCTGAGTTGATTAGAAAACAGATTTCTCAGAAGGCTTGCTCCTAAGCCATGAGAACGAATAATAGTGATGGTCTCCTTTTGGATGCTATCCTGCTTATGTTTTCACACTACCATAACAGATAAGGGTGACGAGTGTAAAAATGTTCTTCGGGATCGCCCTGTATATGGAATTGAGTTACTCACAAAAAGCTTTGTAGAACGCGACAAAATGAAGATAAAAAACCTTTTTGAAAAACGGAGATTTATCTGCAAGAAAAACGACTCGATTGTTAGAGTTAACGATGATAGAGAAGCTGCGCTTTTGAAATGTCTGAAGGAAGAAGCCGTTCTCGCAAGGGTAGCTGAAGGTTCCAAAGTGACTCAATTTTCCTGGTTCCTCTCATTTATTTGTTTGCTTTTAGAAAAAGAATTTTTTTT